TTCGTTCCCTCAGTTCCTCCCCTCGGTCCCTTCCCTCGGTTCCTCCCCTCAGTTCCTCCCCTCAGTTTCTCCCCTCAGTTCCTCCCCTCAGTTCCTTCCCTCACTTCCTCCCCTCAGTTCCTCCCCTCAATTCCTCCCCTCAGTTCCTCCCCTCAGTTCCTCCCCTCAGTTCCTTCCCTCAGTTCCTTCCCTCAGTTCCTCCCCTCAGTTCCTCCCCTCAGTTCCTCCCCTCAGTTCCTCCCCTCAGTTCCTTCCCTCAGTTCCTCCCCTCAGTTCCTCCCCTCAGTTCCTCCCCTCAGTTCCTCCCCTCAGTTCCTCCCCTCAGTTCCTTCCCTCAGTTCCTCCCCTCAGTTCCTCCCCTCAGTTCCTCCCCTCAGTTCCTCCCCTCAGTTCCTCCCCTCAGTTCCTCCCCTCAGTTCCTCCCCTCAGTTCCTCTTCTCAGTTCCTTCCCTCAGTTCCTCCCCTCAGTTCCTACCCTCAGTTCCTCCCCTCAGTTCCTTCCCTCAGTTCCTTCTCTCAGTTCCTCTCCTCAGTTCCTCCCCTCAGTTCCTCCCCTCAGTTCCTCCCCTCAGTTCCTCCCCTCAGTTCCTACCCTCAGTTCCTCCCCTCAGTTCCTTCTCTCAGTTCCTCCCCTCAATTCCTTCCCTCAGTTCCTCCCCTCAGTTCGTTCCCTCAGTTCCTTCCCTCAGTTCCTTCCCTCAGTTCCTACCCTCAGTTCCTCCCCTCAGTTTCTTCCCTCAGTTCCTCCCCTCAGTTCCTTCCCTCAGTTTCTCCCCTCAGTTCGTTCCCTCAGTTCCTCCCCTCGGTCCCTTCCCTCGGTTCCTCCCCTCAGTTCCTCCCCTCAGTTTCTCCCCTCAGTTCCTCCCCTCAGTTCCTTCCCTCACTTCCTCCCCTCAGTTCCTCCCCTCAATTCCTCCCCTCAGTTCCTCCCCTCAGTTCCTCCCCTCAGTTCCTTCCCTCAGTTCCTTCCCTCAGTTCCTCCCCTCAGTTCCTCCCCTCAGTTCCTCCCCTCAGTTCCTCCCCTCAGTTCCTTCCCTCAGTTCCTCCCCTCAGTTCCTCCCCTCAGTTCCTCCCCTCAGTTCCTCCCCTCAGTTCCTCCCCTCAGTTCCTTCCCTCAGTTCCTCCCCTCAGTTCCTCCCCTCAGTTCCTCCCCTCAGTTCCTCCCCTCAGTTCCTCCCCTCAGTTCCTCCCCTCAGTTCCTCCCCTCAGTTCCTTCCCTCGGTTCCTTCCCTCGGTTCCTTCCCTCGGTTCCTTCCCTCGGTTCCTTCCCTCGGTTCCTTCCCTCGGTTCCTTCCCTCGGTTCCTCCCCTCAGTTCCTCCCCTCAGTTCCTCCCCTCAGTTCCTCCCCTCAGTTCCTCCCCTCAGTTCCTCCCCTCAGTTCCTCCCCTCAGTTCCTCCCCTCAGTTCCTCCCCTCAGTTCCTCCCCTCAGTTCCTCCCCTCAGTTCCTCCCCTCAGTTCCTCCCCTCAGTTCCTCCCCTCAGTTCCTCCCCTCAGTTCCTCCCCTCAGTTCCTCCCCTAAGTTCCTCCCCTCAGTTCCTCCCCTCAGTTCCTCCCCTCAGTTCCTCCCCTCAGTTCCTCCCCTCAGTTCCTCCCCTCAGTTCCTCCCCTCAGTTCCTCCCCTCAGTTCCTCCCCTCAGTTCCTCCCCTCAGTTCCTCCCCTCAGTTCCTCCCCTCAGTTCCTCCCCTCAGTTCCTCCCCTCAGTTCCTTCCCTCGGTTCCTTCCCTCGGTTCCTCTCCTCGGTTCCTTCCCTCGGTTCCTTCCCTCGGTTCCTCCCCTCGGTTCCTCCCCTCGGTTCCTCCCCTCGGTTCCTCCCCTCGGTTCCTCCCCTCGGTTCCTCCCCTCGGTTCCTCCCCTCGGTTCCTCCCCTCGGTTCCTCCCCTCGGTTCCTCCCCTCGGTTCCGCCCCTCGGTTCCTCCCCTCGGTTCCTCCCCTCGGTTCCTCCCCTCGGTTCCTCCCCTCGGTTCCTCCCCTCGGTTCCTCCCCTCGGTTCCTCCCCTCGGTTCCTCCCCTCGGTTCCTCCCCTCGGTTCCTCCCCTCGGTTCCTCCCCTCGGTTCCTCCCCTCGGTTCCTTCCTCCCTCAGTTCCTCCCTCAGTTCCTCCCTCAGTTCCTCCCTCAGTTCCTCCCTCAGTTCCTCCCTCAGTTCCTCCCTCAGTTCCTCCCTCAGTTCCTCCCTCAGTTCCTCCCTCAGTTCCTCCCTCAGTTCCTCCCTCAGTTCCTCCCTCAGTTCCTCCCTCAGTTCCTCCCTCAGTTCCTCCCTCAGTTCCTCCCTCAGTTCCTCCCTCAGTTCCTCCCTCAGTTCCTCCCTCAGTTCCTCCCTCAGTTCCTCCCTCAGTTCCTCCCTCAGTTCCTCCCTCAGTTCCTCCCTCAGTTCCTCCCTCAGTTCCTCCCCTCAGTTCCTCCCCTCAGTTCCTCCCCTCAGTTCCTCCCCTCGGTTCCTCCCCTCGGTCCTCCCCTCGGTTCCTCCCCTCGGTTCCTCCCCTCGGTTCCTCCCCTCGGTTCCTCCCCTCGGTTCCTCCCCTCGGTTCCTCCCCTCGGTTCCTCCCCTCGGTTCCTCCCCTCGGTTCCTCCCCTCGGTTCCTCCCCTCGGTTCCTCCCCTCGGTTCCTCCCCTCGGTTCCTCCCCTCGGTTCCTCCCCTCGGTTCCTCCCCTCGGTTCCTCCCCTCGGTTCCTCCCCTCGGTTCCTCCCCTCGGTTCCTCCCCTCGGTTCCTCCCCTCGGTTCCTCCCCTCGGTTCCTCCCCTCGGTTCCTCCCCTCGGTTCCTCCCCTCGGTTCCTCCCCTCGGTTCCTCCCCTCGGTTCCTCCCCTCGGTTCCTCCCCTCGGTTCCTCCCCTCGGTTCCTCCCCTCGGTTCCTCCCCTCGGTTCCTCCCCTCGGTTCCTCCCCTCGGTTCCTCCCCTCGGTTCCTCCCCTCGGTTCCTCCCCTCGGTTCCTTCCCTCGGTTCCTCCCCTCGGTTCGTCCCCTCGGTTCGTCCCCTCGGTTCCTCCCCTCGGTTCCTCCCCTCGGTTCCTCCCCTCGGTTCCTCCCCTCGGTTCCTCCCCTCGGTTCCTCCCCTCGGTTCCTCTCCTCGGTTCCTCCCCTCGGTTCCTCCCCTCGGTTCCTCCCCTCGGTTCCTCCCCTCGGTTCCTCCCCTCGGTTCCTCCCCTCGGTTCCTCCCCTCGGTTCCTCCCTCCCTCAGTTCCTCCCTCAGTTCCTCCCTCAGTTCCTCCCTCAGTTCCTCCCTCAGTTCCTCCCTCAGTTCCTCCCCTCAGTTCCTCCCCTCAGTTCCTCCCCTCAGTTCCTCCCCTCAGTTCCTCCCCTCAGTTCCTCCCCTCAGTTCCTCCCCTCAGTTCCTCCCCTCAGTTCCTCCCCTCAGTTCCTCCCCTCAGTTCCTCCCCTCAGTTCCTCCCCTCAGTTCCTCACCTCAGTTCCTCACCTCAGGTCCTCCCCTCAGTTCCTCCCCTCAGTTCCTCCCCTCAGTTCCTCCCCTCAGTTCCTCCCCTCAGTTCCTCCCCTCAGTTCCTCCCCTCAGTTCCTCCCCTCAGTTCCTCCCCTCAGTTCCTCCCCTCAGTTCCTCCCCTCAGTTCCTTCCCTCAGTTCCTCCCCTCAGTTCCTCCCCTCAGTTCCTCCCCTCAGTTCCTTCCCTCAGTTCCTCCCCTCAGTTCCTACCCTCAGTTCCTCTTCTCAGTTCCTTCCCTCAGTTCCTCCCCTCAGTTCCTACCCTCAGTTCCTCCCCTCAGTTCCTTCCCTCAGTTCCTTCTCTCAGTTCCTCCCTCAGTTCCTCCCTCAGTTCCTCCCTCAGTTCCTCCCTCAGTTCCTCCCTCAGTTCCTCCCTCAGTTCCTCCCTCAGTTCCTCCCTCAGTTCCTCCCTCAGTTCCTCCCTCAGTTCCTCCCTCAGTTCCTCCCTCAGTTCCTCCCTCAGTTCCTTCCCTCAGTTCCTCCCCTCAGTTCCTCCCCTCAGTTCCTCCCCTCAGTTCCTTCTCTCAGTTCCTCCCTCAGTTCCTCCCTCAGTTCCTCCCTCAGTTCCTTCCCTCAGTTCCTTCCCTCAGTTCCTTCCCTCAGTTCCTACCCTCAGTTCCTCCCCTCAGTTTCTTCCCTCAGTTCCTCCCCTCAGTTCCTTCCCTCAGTTTCTCCCCTCAGTTCGTTCCCTCAGTTCCTCCCCTCAGTCCCTTCCCTCGGTTCCTTCCCTCAGTTCCTCCCCTCAGTTTCTCCCCTCAGTTCCTCCCCTCAGTTCCTTCCCTCACTTCCTCCCCTCAGTTCCTCCCCTCGGTTCCTCCCCTCAGTTCCTCCCCTCAGTTCCTCCCCTCAGTTCCTTCCCTCAGTTCCTTCCCTCAGTTCCTTCCCTCAGTTCCTCCCCTCAGTTCCTCCCCTCAGTTCCTCCCCTCAGTTCCTCCCCTCAGTTCCTTCCCTCAGTTCCTCCCCTCAGTTCCTTCCCTCATTTCCTTCCCTCAGTTCCTCCCCTCAGTTCCTCCCCTCAGTTCCTCCCCTCAGTTCCTCCCCTCAGTTCCTCCCCTCAGTTCCTCCCCTCAGTTCCTCCCCTCAGTTCCTCCCCTCAGTTCCTCCCCTCAGTTCCTCCCCTCAGTTCCTCCCCTCAGTTCCTCCCCTCAGTTCCTCCCCTCAGTTCCTCCCCTCAGTTCCTCCCCTCAGTTCCTCCCCTCAGTTCCTCCCCTCATTTCCTCCCCTCAGTTCCTCCTCTCCGTAGCCTTTTCCACGTCTGCGACCCCCTTAGTAGTCCCGTCAGCTATTATCCCTGCCACACTTTTTTAACCTCCGAGTTGACTACAGAGAAACCTTGCTCAAATCATGTTTTCCTCTCTCTCGTTCCCCTTCCCCCCCTCCCCTCCTCCTTCCCCTTGGCTCAACATTCCTCTAGTATCTCTGTCATTCTAATCCTTTCATGGATTTTGAGTCGACCTTTAACTCCCCTTTGAAAGCACCTTCAAGCCACCGCTTCTCTGGAGAATTCCGCTTGCCATTTCCATGTTTAATCCCATCCCCTCTGTGCCATCACTGCACTGCAGGCAGTGGAACGCACTCCCACAATCACGACAGCCACTCACATGACCATGACCATGCCCATTCCCATGACCACGGGCATGACCATGGGCATGAGCATGCTGGGGAGAGTGGAGGGCACGCGCATTCTCTCGAGGACCTGTCTGTTGGCATTGCCGTGCTGGGTAAGCCGATCCCTGCCTGGCTGTTGTCCATACAGGTAACTTGCGCATGAGTATGCATCCATTTACATGACCATGGGCATGGGCATGCTGTGGAGGGTGGAGGGTATGCTCTTTCTCTCGAGGACCTGTCTCTTGGCATTGCCATGCTTGGCGAGTCAACCCCTGGGGCCCTGACGCCTCTACATGACAATGGCCAGTGGCCACAGTCATGGGAATGAGCATCCTGTCTGTGGGGATTGTCGCCGCAGCTGCCGCCGCCGCTGCCGCCGCCGCCACCACGACCATTACCATCGCGCTTGTTTTCACCTGTCCTGCTTCCTAATCCCCCCACTGCAGTGGGCATCGTGCTCTTCTTCCTGGTGGAGAAGATTGTGAGACGTGTTGAAGAGCTCACCTCTAGAGGTGCTGCTGTGCCGTTTGCTGGGCATGGGCATGGCCACAGCCACCACAGCCACCACCATGAGCATCAGCACAAGCACGAGGGCGAGAAAGAGGAGAATTCAGGCGGGGATGAGTGTGAGAAAGTGAGTGAGGATGGGAAGGGTATAGGAGGGAAGAGGGACAAGAAAGAGGAGGGCGGAGGAGAAAGTGACGGGAGCACTGGTGATGGGAATGTGAAGATTGGGGATGAGGAAGTGAGTTCTAAGGACGGTTGGGAGAATGTGGATGAGGGAGAGGAGGAGGGCGAGGGAGGAGAGGAGGGTAAGACAACGGGAGAGGAGGAGAGTGAGAGTAAGGTAGAAACGAAGGCAGAGAAAGGGGAGGCTGGGAAAGAGCCGAAGGAGGAGGAGGAGGAAGAGAAGAAGGAGAAGGAGGGGAACACGAAAGAGGGAGAATCCAAGGAGGAGGGAGGAGACGGAGAAGGGGAGAAGAGGAAAGGAAGCACAGGTGGTAAAAGTGAAGGGTTAAGGAGGCGGAGGGCCACTGCTGATTCACAGACAGTATCAGCAGACAGGAGCGGAGAGGAGGAGAGGGAGGTGAAGGAGGGGAAGGAGGGGAAGGAGAAGGAGGGTGATGAGGCATCGGCACTTGACAATGATGAGAAGAAGGCCCGTGCAGTGGCTAAGGCACTGCCAGTGGCGGCAGGACCACCAGCAGTGGCTGGGCCGGCAGCGAACAAGCACCTGGTGTTGGGATACCTCAACCTCTTCTCCGATGGCGTGGTGAGTGGTGTGGGATGGGTGACGATGGTCTACGTTGGAAAATACGAGTATCGAGTATTATACGCTAGCGTCTTATACGCTTGGTATATACGCGGTACGCTATGGCTGGCGTACTGCTGATACGCAAAAATACGCTGGGCGGGCAGGTTAAACTTTTTTCCCGGGCAGGTTCCGCCCTCGAACTGTAGGGAGTAGAGGTCGCCATGGCGAGGAAGTTCTAAAGCTAGGAGAGTTCGAGGTCGATGAGAGTTGGACGAAATGCAAGAAAAGAAATGCGGGATTGAATGAAAGACGAGCTGTTTAGGGATTGAGGAGATGTTCGAACGAGTGAAAGGGGGGAGGTTGGGTTTAGGAGGTTGAGAGGGGTGGTGTGAGGTTGGGGATGTTTGAGGGGTTGGATTTTGAATTTCGAATTGCAGACAGGGGTTGGGTGCTGTGCGAGGTCGAGGGTTCAATTCTCGACGTCGCAAATATTCGCATTTTTTTTTGGAAGCTTTTTTTTTTTACGGGCTGCCCTGGCGTATTTTAGCGTTTTTTAGGCGTATTAGCGTATTGCATACATACTCTAGCGTATATACGCAATACGCCCACCCCCCAAGGGCGTATTTTCCAACGTAGACGATGGTTTGTGGGAGATGATGTGGGATGGGTGACGATGGGTTGTGGGAGATGATGAGGGGTGTGAACACCAGTGCCCTGCAGCGAGCAAGCACCTCGTGTTGAAATACCTCGCCCTCTTCTCCGATGGCGTGGTGAGTGCCGGATATGTGGTTTGATACATTTGTTTGTTCAGTTGTGTTGCAAACATTTTCATTGTTACACTCTTTGTTGTAACTATCCTAATTCAAGTTGTTTGGTCTGGAATTCAGAGCTTCGTTCGTCCCCCTCCTTCCCTCATGTCCTCCACATCCCCCCCCGTGACTCCCTCCCTCCTTCCTCCCTCGTCCTCCTTCCACCCTTCCCCCTCCCTCATCCCCCCTCCCTCATCCCCCCTCCCTCATCTGCCCTCCCGTCTCCCCACTTTCCACTCTTCTCCCCGTTTGCCAGCACAACTTCACAGACGGCATGTCGCTGGGATCTGCTTTCCTCCATCGGGGAGCACTGGGGGGCTACTCGCGCATGCTCTTCATGCTGGCTCATGAAATCCCACAGGAGGTGAGCATTCATCTGAGCATGACCATTAACACATTCCTACCATATTGAAATCACTTTTGAGAATTCTCAAAAGTGATTTCATCTTAGCATGACCATAATCCCATTCCTACCCAGATTGGGTGACACAGGCCTTGGCTCTATGCGACTTTGCCTCCTCTCCTCCCAGATTGGTGATTTTGGCCTCTTGGTGCGATCAGGCTTAGGGGTGACACAGGCCTTGGCCCTCAATTTCTTCTCCTACTCCTGCACCCCTCCCTCTCCGTGACTTTGCCCCCACTTCTCCTCATCTCACCACCCCCATTCCTCCCCAGATTGGTGATTTTGGCATCTTAGTGCGATCAGGCATGGGGGTGACACAGGCATTGGCACTCAATTTCCTCTCTGCGCTCACTGCCCTGCTCGGCACTGCTGCGGTATAGTTTTTCCCACCCACCCTCACCCCGCCCCAACGGGTCGCATCCCACCCTCACCCTGCCCCAACTGGTCGCATCTTCCTATCAACATCCTCTTAGCCCTCATTGCTTCCTGCTATACAGTTGTCCTCTTCCTCGCCCGTCCTCTCCCCCACCCCACCTATCGTAATTTTCCTCTCCCCATCCCAACTCTCCCTCACCACGACTCTCCCTCACCACGACTCTCCCTCACCACGACTCTCCCTCACCCTGCCTCTCCCTTACCCCTCACGCTTCAATACTTTCGACAATAATGTTTTTCTCCAGTTATATCGATCCCATGCAAGCCTAGTTTTGAGGCGCCTCAAAACTAAGCTTCTGTCACCGTATATTTCTTCAGTTACCTTCTCTCTCTGTCCATCCCTCGCTTGTCTTCACCACAGGCTCTCATATTCGGCGGACAGGAAGCGCACTCAGGTCTCATAGAGGTGAGCTCTCATGTGCAAAAAGGTGAGACGTTTGAGTATTTTCGTAGGAGGCAGGGCAGGAAGCACTCTCTGAGTCCTTAACCCATATTCAAGGGCAGGGAGCCCACTCAGGTCTCATAGAGGTGAGCTTTCTCGTCCAAGAGGGTGTGAATTGTTGCTCACAGCATGCATGACGGTATGTGCTGGAAGTATCCCCAACGCACATTTCCCCTCACTTTCTTTCATGGCCCAAAGGGTGGGTATTCGTCTGCGCAGGGCTCCGTTTTTTCCTCGCAACAACTTAGAGCTACCCTTTTTCCCTCCCTTCATCTTCCTGTGCTGTGCCCAGGGATTCACAGCAGGGGGGTTCATTTACATTGCAGTGGCAGGGGTTATGCCAAACATGCACTCAAGAGTCGACTCATATATGACCTTGTTTCTTCTGTTTCCCCCCTGGCCCCCTCCCGTTTCACTGCACTGCAGGGCTTCACAGCGGGGGGGTTTATTTACATTGCAGTGGCAGGGGTGATGCCTGACATGCACTCACAGGGAGTTGACATCCTCTCTACAGTTATTCAGCTCGCCTCTCTTACAGCAGGAGTTGCTGTAGCTGTTGTGATATCCCTTCTTGAGTAAGATAAGTGTATTACGGTATGTGCAACTCAGATACAGATGGTTTTGACCATGCATCCTGTCACTTCAGATAACTTCTAGGTATATATGATCAAGAAAGAACATTGAGAACTGATTTTCCAGAAAGATATCTCCTCCTACTCAACCCAATATCGGCAACTTTGGGTGTAGCTATATAATGGACTTCATGTTTGAGTACCAACTAAAGCACATAGAGACCTATGAAATAACTCATATAAACAGCACACTTATGGTACATTTCAATCTACTCTAGTCAAACACCTATGCATCATCCCCATCATCCAAATCACCCCACATGTGCTGCAGCAGCCTCTGCACCCGTGGCGAGGGGGACACCAAGGAAAAATCCCGAAGGCAGCTTTGAAGGTACCTACCTATGCAGAATCACCATCATCCAGGTCACCCCACATGTGCTGCAGCAGCTTCTGCACCCGTGGTGAGGGGGACAGCCTAGGGGAAGGCATTTTGGGCGGCACAGGAATCTTAAGCTGCAGTTCTAACTCCCCAGAACCGCTCCCCACCCCCACATCTCCCAACTCTGGAGATTGTCTCCCCTCTTTCTTCCCTTCCCTGCTGAAGCTTTGTCCTGCCGCTGAGTAGCTCTGGCTGCTGTGGTATTTGGGTGAGAGGTTGGATGGGAGGTGTGCTGTGTGGTTCGACGGGTAGTGTGATGGGTGGTAAGCTAGTTGGTGCCTTGGCCGACCATAGCTGCTGTGCTGGCCTGCTGACGCACCCGAGCCTAGACTCTGAAACGAGGAGCTTCGGCGAATGCCCTGAGGCTGGGCTGCAGGCTCGGGAACCAGTAGGAGAGATCCGGAGTAGGACGGGGAGCGGGAGTGGCGACGCGGGCGCTCGGTAAAACTCTGGCTGCCCCGCTGCATGGGATGCGGGGCAGCAGGGGGGACATTCTGAGGCGCCTCAAAAGAGTGGTGGTGCGGCCGCTCGGTAAAACTCTGGCTGCCCCGCTGCATGGGATGCGGGGCAGCAGGGGGAACATTCTGAGGCGCCTCAAAAGAGTGGTGGTGCGGCCGCTCGGTAAAACTCTGGCTGCCCCGCTGCATGGGATGCGGGGCAGCAGGGGGAACGCGAGCAACCTGTACATTCTCTACTGCTGCTTTTGCTTCCCGTACCTCCTCGGCTGCTTTGGCTGCCTTTGCAGCGGCTTGTGAGGCTGCTGCTGCTGCTGCTGCCGTTGCCGCTGATTCTGCTGCTGCTGTTTCTGCTGATTCTGCTGCGGCGGCCCTTTCAGCAGCAGCTGCTGCTTCTGCCTCCGCAAAAGCGGTGATAGCCGCATCGGCAGCCGGGCCAAGATCAGCATCACAGGCAGAGAAGCGTCGCACGCGGACCATACTGCAGAAAGAAACGCGCCGAACATGTTTGCCCTTGGGTGAACGACCTGGGGACAACTGCGGAGTGGGGGGGGAACCCTTGGGGGAGAGGCTTGGGGAGGGAGCAGCAGCTGCAGCAGCGCCGGAGCCTGTGGCTTCGGCAGCAGCTTCGGCAGGACCAGCGGTAGCAGGTTTGGGCAGAGGCTTGGTAGGGATGGCTGTGGCAGGTGGGTTGGCGGCGGTGTGGATTGAGAGAGGTGAACTGGAAGGGGATGATGACGTGGCATACGAACGCGACATGCTGTCAAACGACGGCATTCTTTTCAGCCCGCCACGTCGGAGGATGCCGCCAGCTGTCGCACTCCGAGTGGGCGAAGGCATTGCTGCAGAGACAGCAGCGCCAGCGCGTGGTGAGTCAGCCGAGCCTGTTGGTGAGTCAGCCGCGCCTGCTGCTGAGTCAGCCGCAACACACGCCATTGCTGCTTTCAGGTTCAGATTTGTCGACAGCATCCGGTTCGGGCTGCTCACAGAAAGATTTCGCCCTGCCCGCAGGCTGCGCGATGAGCTCTCCCATTGGCTGCTCATGCTGCGCGGAAGATTTCCGCGCTGCCCGAATCCGCTCCCGCCGTCGCCGCCACGTGATATGCTACTACTCGCCGCCGACGATGCTCGATTTTCGCGAGAATTCGCACGAGGGACGGCGAATGCGAACGAGGACGGGGATAGGCAGGGGGAAGAAACGGGAGAGGCGGAAGGCGAAGGCGGTGGAAGCGGGCAGGCGGACGCGTGAAAGCTAGAGGGAGAGATGATGCCGCGGCGGGAGGACGCGGGGGAAGGCGGAAGGCGGAGACTGGGAGTCCGCGGAAAGCCCTGGGAGGTGGGCGGGGTTGGGGACTGAGGACCACTGCGGCGTGAGGCGCCAGTTTGCGCGGGGGCAATCGCCGCAGCTGCCGCCGCAGCCGCTGATCGGGAGGGAGATCGTGGCGCTCCCGTAGAGCTGAGCTGGCGCGCATCCGCGCCGTCGGTTTCTGCGGTCGAGAAAATCCGCGATGGTAGCGCCGCACCGGCAGGCGCGGCAGAAGCGACGGAGGCGGCGGCGGCGCGGATCCCGGGGACGCTGACGTGGAAAGCGAACGAGTCCTCCGCGTCGGGCGAGCCGCTGGAGAGCGAATCCGCGTCGGATCCGTCGATCGGCTGAAACGACGCGGACCGAGTCAGCGCGCGGCGCGGCGCGGACTGGCCCGCTGTGTCGAAACCGTGGCCTGTCGCGTAGTCAGAACTGGTGCGACGATGGCTCGGCGCCCTGGTTGAGCTGTCGCCGCGGCTGGCGGCGCTTTGATTCATTGTCGCAGGAAGATGGTAGCTCGACTTGGGGAAATAAACCACCTCCGCAGCGTGCCGAAGCACAGGTTGACGTTTGGGCCGATCCGAGAAGCTCCGGCGGCAAGCGCCTCCCGCGGCGCCACCAGCCGCGGCGGAGACTCTTTCTGGAAGCCGCGGAAAGGTCTCGACATCATGGGAGTCGCGCGATTGGTTCGGCGCGGAAAGCGGCGCGGTGGGCGACTGTGCCCCTGCGCCGACGCCAGCGGAGGCGTCGGATGCGACGGCGGCAGCAGAAGACGCCAACGGCGGCGGATCCATCGAGAGGTCGTCGCCTTGATACGCCGGCACGTGTGTAGCAGGTGACGCGGCGGGAGATGCGGCGGATCGTACGCCGGAAGCTGCTGGGTAGCGGCTGATATTGGTGGGAGGTTTCGAATCCACGAGAAGAACCGCAGCCGCCGCCATATCCCGAGGAAATATTATCTGCCAACGTTTCGCTATAACTTGGAAAAATCGGCGGACGCGATGTTCATCAGACGCATAATACTTGTCGTGGAGCTGGGAAATGGGGGTCACTACTGTGTGTGCACCAACGGGACGACTGAGGATGCAAATTAAGTGACAACTTTCTTACGATTGATGAGCAGCAACAGTCTCGATAAACACGTGATGTTGTGATGGGGGAGTCCAAACTGGAAGTCCAGAGCTTGGATGGGAACGAGGGATGGGATCGACGTGGACTTTTCTCACAGAAGTGTTCAGAGCGGATCTTGCGGGAAAAGCTGAGCTGAGCTGATGGGTTGAGCAGAAAATGAGAGCAGATTGTACACGGCTGTTGTAAAGAAGCGCAAATTCCTGAAATTGGCTGCTGGTGAAACGGCGAATTCTGTTTGCGATGTGCTTGAATTGAATGGAAAGGAAAACTATATTTCTACTGGATGTGTGACGCGATTCGCTCAAGGCTTGGCTGTTGTGGGCGACCGCCAATGGCCACGTCACCAGCTAGACATATTCTTTGACCCGACAGCTGGCGGGTTTACGCGGGTTTCGGCTCGTTCGGTTCGAAAAGGTCAAAGCAGGCATTGTAACCAATCAATGACCATGTCAGCACGCGTTACGTGACTTGTGGTTGCCTCACACCGCACCGCACCATCCCTCCTCACCTCGCCTCACCGCACCATGCTTGTATGTGACGCGGCCGGGCTTGACCATTGTCCGCGTTACAGTGTTTGACGCTGCTGTTGTCTTGCGTTGTGTTGTGTTTGCATCGACACTGTACAGGTCAAAGAATCCTTTCACGCGGACAGTCTGGCTGCTTGTCTCGTCGCCCTTCCACATCCCGCAGAAATTTCAATCTATGACCCGTGTCAAATACTAAGAGCGCGTAACCAATTTGCATTTTGTGATTTTGACGGACAGCCCGCTTAAAACGAAGCGGACGGTCCACTTGCTGAAAACGGGACCGTCCGAAGTGAAAATTTGCAACTTCGGACTGTCCGAAGGCAGTTGTGACACTTTTCTTCTATTGTACGGTTTCGCGACAACTGTACAAGCATTACGGGATTTGCGATTTTCATGTTTCTCGTTGTCGAATCATTGTTCTAAGCGAGTTGTCTCTGGTTGGTCAATGTAAATTTGCGAAATCTCACCACATGTTTTTTATGGTGGACGAGATGCCCGATAATTTTTACGTCGTGTACCAATCGGATGCAAGGGGATTCGGACAGTCCGTTTGAGATTCGGACTGTCCACGGTTCAGATTTCGGACCGTGGAAAATGGGAAAAAGTGTCACTACTGTCCGTTTTGTTGGCGATGTCGTCAACACCTTAACGAATACACTTACGACATAACGCGAAAACTGTTACCTTTTCGCCACCCGGACGGTCCACGGTTCGAACCGTCGGGTGCAAAATGGTTACGCGCCCTAATCGTACAGACCACATCTGGCGGCGAGGCGAACGCGAACGGCAGCAAGCATACAGTACGGTTTGTTGAAGGGAGAATTTCGGCTCGAGTGGCAATCGGCGAAACGTCCTTCGTAGATCCGAGCGACTCGAACCTCGACAAAAACAGACCAATGGGAAAGAGGAAAACATCGACGCAAAATCTAAGCCAGCTTTGATGGCTTGAATTGCCTTGGTGTTTGGTGCAGTCTTCTCAGCCACATGCATTTGGTTTGATATACAGAATACTTTTATATGAGTACAGTTCAGATGACCTCTGTTAGCTGTGTATTAATACATTATAGTCAACAATTTTCCTACTGTTTTTATACCCGTTGGGAAATGTACCACTGCTAGCAATAAAATTCTGTAATATAATGTTATCCTTAGGGTCTTTTACAAGATCACGCTGACTTTTTGCTATCAACCGTATCATAAGCCTACAATTGTGGATTGCCGCAACGAACCCGATATGGCTTTAGTTCGTGACAATTAGGTGAAACATGGTGCTCGAGAATGTGCTGGTTGCCATATCAAACGACATGATGTGGTGGAGATGGTCAGCCATAATGTGATGGCCCCCGTAGACTTGTATTGCAAGTGGTTCCTCTGCTCTGCTGCACATAAGAGCCATCACAGCGGATAGGGTAACAAATGGTGCAGGGACAAAGGGTTCTCCTCTTGTGCCAAGAGTTAGAAGCCCCTGGGTCTTCTGCATAGTGTTTCAGAGTAGAGCATGAGAACAACAGAGATTACCAAGTAGGTGCTAAGGTGCCCCAAGGTGCATGGTAAGAGCAAGCCTGCACGTGGCCTGGGCAAGCCGAGTTGAAAAATGTGGTAAATGAAAAATGTTTGTAGTAATTAACAAGCAACAGCCAGTCGAACTGCTGATCGTTCCTAGAGCTAGTGGAACATCTCTAAATCAGCATCATGCCTGCAAACATGCACACTAGCGTCACAAGGGAAACAGTGACAACATTAGCACTCTTTGGAGGTGGTGGTGGGGATGCAGCCTGGGTGCTCTGCACTGTGGAATTTCCACACGACGCAGTGCTTTTAATCTTTCCGAGCGACTGGCTGAACTGGTTGGCGTCAACCACGCCAGCAGGGCAGTTTCCAGGCACAGTCATGTTGTCACAACAGGAGGTGGACTTTGGAAGCGCCTTAGGACCACTGTAGCATTTGCCATCTGTCTGAAGACCGGGAGACAAAGATGAGAAAAAGTGCACGTTTTATGTACTGTTGTTGAGAGAATTTGAGCACAGTTCGCACACTGCCTCCATGGAATAATAAGAAAAGCCTTCACAGAGGACATACAAGCAGGGATGCTTGCGTGTCCGAGGGGACGCGAAGGTGCAGAGAAGTAGGAAAAGCCTTAAGACGAGCTGAAGCATCAGGTTAAAAGATCGGAGAAAGCCCAAGGTGTCGCCACCTTTGAGATTGTATTCGCTTTATTAAACTGAATACACAAAGGCCGGCTGATCCCAGAACGGTTTAAGAAGTGATGACACCCACCTTGTCGATGTTGATGGTCACGTCCTTCAACCCTGTTGCCATCTTCACGATGCTCGTCATGGCGCCCGACATGAACCCTCCCGCGTCCTTGATCAGAGAGCTTAGCGGAAAGTTGTTATCTGCAGGAGTTGCAGGGTCGAGATCATATAGAACAGCTCGTCAAGATTACGCGGCGAGGAGCTCTGTAAAGAAAGAAGGAGCTGAGACACATGAGCACGCCACAACACCAACAAAACTGCCAGACTCGCATGAAGATGGTAGATTGGGCATCCACACCACACTCGCCTGCCAGGTCGCGACCAGATTGTGTCTGGATCTAGCAAAGGAGTCCATGACCGTACTGCATTCGGCACGAATTATGTAATCAGAGGAGACTTACAAGTAAGTCCGGAGCAGGCGTCGTAGACCTGGTTCGCCATGGTTTCGCAGACTGTAACCGTTACAGCTCCATTGTTTGATGTCACGTAGTTGCTGGAACCTGGGAGAAGTGGTGCCAGGCGAAAAAGCAGGAGACGAATCGAGCTTAACGCCATTCTTCGAAAGAAAGGTAAACACAGGAAATTATTCAGGCATGTGAACCTTGAACTTCGTAGTACGTGTTCGCGAAGGTGTCGTACCTGGATTGCAGGTTATAGCACAGATAATGCTTTCCACCAGTAATGAACAAGTTTCTTTTCCCTGAAACATGCTGCAAAACTGCAAGACAGAATCACCAGGTGGAACCAGGCATTAGTGTGAGACGTTGCTAGAAGACACTGCGTCACGACCATGACAATCCCTCTGTGACGCTCAGAGCCCAAGTACCTGAATTTCGGTGCCTTCAGGCACGAATTTCGCGTAGTCTGGATTCATGTCGCTGACAAGCTTAGTTACATCTGCTGTAAGGAGGTTCAGCGCGTAGCTGAAGTCGCTGCAGTCCTGGCAGCACGACGATTTGGCTGCATCGAGACAGCGAGCGGAGGGAATCTGCGGAACGCTAGGCGGTTTTCCTGTCAGAGGACATGTCAACGGCGTGGGTACGGAGATTGCCAACGGGAGGAACACTGACAACAACAGTAGCACCGTCTGCGTCGTCTTCATTGCGACTATGGCTGACAGGCTTGGTTTTATTATACGACGATTGGCGGAATACGAAGAGCGACCGGCTAGTAAAACTATAGCGAACACCAGAGTCTACTAAGATAGGAAATAAAGGATTCTATCTGTAAGGCCTTCTCAAATCTCAAATTCAGAATGATAGCCTTGGGAGTTGCTCGGGGTCATAAGCCTTCCTGGGTCCTCAGGTTGGACCTTCAAGAGGCAGGCATCTATTTCGCTAAACGTTTCGCCCCCGGCGAAGCGCATCGCACGCACCCTGGCAGCGAATTCGCGAAAGGTTGGATGGTCGAAGGGGGTGAGTTGGTGACGACGACGGCAGAAAGAGACTTTCTGCTTGTTCGGTGGCTGGGGTCGTAGGTTTGGTTTTTTTGTGGCGGGAACCATTCATTTGAATTCGCGGCTTGAACAGGCAGCCGTTGTCTGGGCTACCGAAGCAGCGTACGCCGAATAGAATACCCCGATAGAAGTGATATTCAAGACCCATTTGTAGAAAAGCATCAACGCCTCTTACAACCTTTACATCTCAGAGTGTGCTGCAAATGGGATCCGAAACGGCTTCAGCCTTATATTTTGCCAATAATGTACCTGGTAGCTCCGGAAATTTCCCATAGAAATTGTTGCACAATAGGGAGTATATTTCTGCACTATTTTCCGCGCCGTTTGCGGGGAGCACTCACATTGACGGAAGTACAAGGTTCGTTGGCAGAAGCTTGCGGATGCTTTGGCTTGAGGAATCGACAAGTAAACACGAGTACGGCGACTCGATGGTTGTCGTGTAAAAATTGGGCGGGGAAACGGATTATTGAGAGTTTATTAACGTCTTAATTTCTAGTGGGAAAAACGTAGGTGGGAGAGATGGCCGGGGTGATAGGTAGGGTAAGAGGAAGAGGAAGAGGGAAGGGAGGAGGGGGAGGGGGGAGGAGGAGGACGGGCGAGAACGAAGAGGTTCAGGAGGTATTTAAGGTGTCGCATAGTGGCGAAATTGAGGAGATTAACGACGATTGCGAGGAAGTTCGCGAAATGGAAAGCGGAAGCGACAGGAGAGGCGGGGAAAGTGACGTCAAAGAAATCCCCCACCGAGCGTCGAAGAGACTTTTGAGTCGACTCGAAAGTCAACGTGGTGGGGAAGGTGAGGTCAAAGCAATTCCCCACCGAGCGTCGAATAAATTCCTTGTGAAGCGGCAGGTGAAGCCTGCGAGAGTCTCCTTAGCTACAGCTCGCGTCAGGTCCGGCCGTTCGCAGCGAAATTTAGCGTCAAGTGAGGGGATTCGGGGGATTGAAAGCATGCGCGCCGGGGAGAAGCGGAAGGAGAGAATGGGGAGAAGGGAGAGAAGGGAGAGAAGGGAGAGAAGGGAGGCTGGCAGGTCCGGCCGTTTAGGGCGTGCTGTAGAGACAGGTGAGGGGATTGCAAGCACACGAGATGGGGGAAAGAAGCAGGAGAGGCAGGTGATTAGGGTTGAGGAGAGGAGAAGGGTTGAGACGAGGAGAGGTAAGGGGAACGCGGTGGTAGGGGGAGGGACTGGAGGCGGGATAAGTGTGGGGGCGGATTTGGGGAAGAAGAAATTGCACTGGAAGCAGAGGAAAGCGATGGAAGAAAAGAGGCAAGCGGATGAGGGGAAGAGAAAGCAAGCTGGAGAATCTGGGGAGGCGGATTTGGGAAAAAAGAAACTGCACTGGAAGCAGAAAAAAGCGATGGAAGAAGAGAAGGAAGCAGGCGAGAGAAAGAAAGCGGAAGAATCTGGGGAGGCGGATTTGGGGAAGAAGAAGTTGCACTGGAAGCAGAAAAAAGCGATGGAAGAAAAGATGAAAGCGGATGAGGGGAAGAGAAAGCAAGCGGGAGAAACTGAGGAGGCGGATGAGTGGAAAAAGAAACTTCACTGGAAGCAGAAGAAAGCGATGGAAGAAAAGAGGCAAGCAGGCGAGAGAAAGAGAGCGGGAGGGTCTGGGGAGGGGGATTTTGGGAAGAAGAAATTGCACTGGAAGCAGAAAAAAGCGACTGAAGAAAAGAAGCAAGCGGGTGAAACTCAGGAGGCGGATTTGGGGAAGAAGAAATTGCACTGGAAGCAGAGGAAAGCGATGGAAGGAAAGAGGCAAGCGGATGAGGGGAAGAAAAAGAAAGCGGTAGAAACCGGGGAGGCGGGTGAGGGTAAAAAGAAATTGCACTGGAAGCAGAAAAAAGCAATGGAAGAAAAGAAGCAAGCGAATGAGGGGACTTTTGATTCGTCTCAACAGGAGGTGGATTTGGGGAAGAAGAAATTGCACTGGAAGCAGAGGAAAGCGATGGAAGAACAGAAGCAAGCGGATGTGGGGAAGAGAAAGGGGGGTAGGTGGGGAAATGGAGTGGAGAGAAGTGGTGAGGAGAAGCGGAAGTTACGGCGGGAGGGAGAGGATGAGAGGGAGGATGGGCGGGGGGATGAGAGACGGAGTAAAAGGCGAAGGTTGTCAGAAAAGGGGGCACAGGAGAGGGAGGCAGGGAGGGGGGCGGAAGAGGAGGAGGAGGAAGCTGGTAAAGGCCAGGGGAGGATGAATGGGGTGGGCAGTGGAGGAGGAGGAACGGCGGAGGGGGCTGGGCAGCTGGTGGCAAGTAGTATGGCGGGAAGGCAGATGATGAGGAGGAGCAAGGGAAGGCTCACGTGGGAGGAGATAAAGGCGGAGACCAGGAAGGTGCTGAGACAAGGGCATCTGCACAAGGTGAGGGATTGGAGTTGTGTTCGAGTAGACTCTTCACATGGCTTACGTGGGAGGAGATCAAGGCGGAGACTAGGAGGGTGCTGAAAGCAGGGGATCTGCACAACGTTTGGATTGGGATCAGGGAGTCTGGAGTGGGAAGGCTTTTCAGAGAGGAGGTTAAGGCGGAGACTAGGAAGCTGCTGAGACAAGGGCATCTGCACAAGGTAATGGGTTGGAGTTGTGTTCGAGAAGACTCGAAACAAGGCTCACGTGGGAGGAGATAAAGGCGGAGACTAGGGGGCTGCTGAGACAAGGGCATCTGCAAAAGGTGAGGGACAGGGATCAGGGAGTTAGCACGAGGGAGTGAAATCTTGGGACTACCAGCTCATTATGGGAGCTTGAAATGGGGAATTTAAGGAGATGCTAAGTGTGGCGAATGGTGATCAATAGTACGTCCTTCCCTTTCCTCATCTTGTTCCAGCTCGAATGTGTTTCTCCCCTCTGCCCCTCGCCCCCCCTCTCCTCCCCTCTCCACCCTTCTCTCCTCCCACTTTCTGCTAATTAGCTGTTTCCTCCATGCAAAAAAAGCTTGGGTGAGTCTGTCTTTTAATCAACACTTTGAGACGCCTCAAAAGTACTCTCCCCTCCCTCTCTCCTCCCTCTCCCCTCCCTCTCCCCTTCCTCTTCCCCTTCTCTCCCCCCAATGGCTGCTACAGATGACTATCTTTTCTGTGCAACAACAGCTAGGTGAGCCTCCCTGTTCCAAACAGCACTATGGTTCAAGAAATGTCTTGGAAAATATTGTTCTCAACAAGGAAAATGTGGAACACAGTGAGCATTGAGCAAATTGTCTTAGACCATATTGTTCACAACAAGGAAAATGTGGAACACAGTGAGCATTGAGCAAATTGTCTTAGACCATATTGTTCACAACAAGGAAAATGTGGAACACAGTGAGCATTGAGCAAATTGTCTTAGACCATATTGTTCACAACAAGGAAAATGTGGAACACAGTGAGCATTGAGCAAATTGTCTTAGACCATATTGTTCACAACAAGGAAAATGTGGAACACAGTGAGCATTGAGCAAATTGTCTTAGACCATATTGTTCACAACAAGGAAAATGTGGAACACAGTGAGCATTGAGCAAATTGTCTTAGACCATATTGTTCTCCCTCTTTCGAGTTTCTCGTCGTCTCATGCCACCCAGTGCCACATACCCCCTCACTGCCTGTTCCATTCCGAATTAAGCGTGACTCTCCCATACCTCGGCCCTAATTTCTCGCTCTTTCTCTTTTCCGTGTTTCCCACTTATGTGTGCCACCCAATGCCACATACCCCCTCACTGCCTGTTCCATTCCAAATCATGTCTGCCATACCTTTGCCTTCTTTTCTCACTCTTTCTCTCTTTTCCGTGTTTCTCGCCAACTCGTGCTACCAAGTGCCACAAACCCCCTCCGTTCCAAATCATGTTTGACTCTCCCATACACCTACCTCTCTTTCTCGGTCTTTCTCTCTTTTCTGCTCTCTAATTTTCTCCATCTGTCTCCATCTCTCTCCCTCTCTCGTCCTCTCTCACGCTGTCCCCCAACACCAAGCAGGGGAGGTGTTTGGGGAGAACTATTCAGTGAGCTGCACACGAGTGAGGGCTGTTCTGAGTGAGATATTCCAAGAGGAGTGGCACGAGGGAAGAAGGGCAGCAGGCAGGAGGCGAATAATGGGCCCTGTTGCACCATATGATTCATGAGGAGTGGCACGGTGGGATGAGGAGGCGAGGCTGTGGTGTGCATGGGTTGAGTGGACCCTTGCATCAAGTATGGGCTTAGCTGTATGCGAGTGAGGGCTGTTCTGAGTGAGATGTTCCAAGAGAAGTGGCACGCAGGACGAAGGGCAGTGAGCAGGAGGCGAATTATGGGCCCTGTTGCACCATATGATTCATGAGGAGTGGCACGGTGGGATGAGGAGGCGAGGCTGTGGTGTGCATGGGTTGTGCAGACGCTTGCATCAAGATTGGGTTGAGCAGCAGGCGATACAGGGTGGTGGTGTGCGATATGAAACACTCCATGGCGAGTGGCTAGCTGGGATGGGAAAGTGAGGGCGTGGCGTGCATGGGTTGAGTTGTGTTCACTCTTGCATCAAGAATGGGCAGAGCTGCATGCGAGACAGCATGGTGGAGTGCGGTATGAAACATTCCATGGCGAGTGGCATGCTGGGATGGGAAAGTGAGGGCGTGGTGTGCATGGTTTGAGTAGTGTAGGCTCTTGCATCAAGTATGGGTTATGTGAAGGGTTGAGCAGCAGGCGAGACAGGGTGGTGGTGTGCTGCTGTAGTTGATGTTTCACGAGTGGCATGACTGGGCAAGCAGCAACAGCGGAGTACCACCACTCGGCCTGTGCTGCTAATTATCTGTAAGACTACTAAAGTTTGTGCCAAGCACTAGTGATACCTTACTGCACCACTTCATTGGATAGTTATTTATAACGATAGATTGTTTATTGAGTAAAACAAACAGTACATTTCGCACACATTAAGTAACATTAAGCAGTAAGCAGTACATAACATGAAGTGCTCCTAC